CCATACCTTTCATCACATGCTGAAGTTAATGAGTGACATCTTTCTCCCTCTGCTAGTCCTTCAAGGTCTGATTGAAACCCACTCTCCATACCTGGAGGAGCTCCTGACCGTCCTCTTCTCAGCTACTGTTGAGACCACTGCCAGGTGTCCTGCCATGAAACCAATTGCTGTGGTGTGCTCCTTGTTGCTCCAGGACAAAGAAGAAACACCAGTAAAGAAGGAGGTGGAGAGTTGCAGGTGAGCCAAGGCTGTGATGGGAATTCACTGGTAGGTCTGGGTACATGGTACACCAGTGACGCTGGCCTTGCTTTGTCCACAGTGCTGAATCAGCTTGGCCAGGGCCTGCCTCTGGCCTTCTCAATGACTGGCTGGAGATGTTGGACCCAGAGGTCATCAGCAGCTGCCCTGATCTACAGCAGAAGCTACTGTTCTCCTGGAACAAAGTAAGAGTTGTTGGGCAGAGGGACTGACGTGCTGAAACAACTTTCTGGGGTACTGACCTACACCTGGAAACAGGGCAAGGGGTAGTTTTATGTTTTGCCACAGGTTACTGTATGATTTCCAAAGCGCTGCAGACTGACAAGGGGATAGTTCTCTGCAAGGCTCGCATTTATCAGGGCAGGGCTTATGTTTCCTCTTCTATTTCCTCACCTGTGTTCTTTTAAGGCCTGCAAAGTGCTTTGCAGACACAACATGTCCCATAACAACCCAGCCAGCAGTTGGTATTTTTTCAGACAGATCAATAGCTTGCCCAAAGTGCCATGCCAAAGTTGAGGCTGAAAGTGAATTTCACACCTGATGCTATGTTCTGTCAGAAAGTACTGCCCTAAATCCTCTTGCTTTCTGTGCTGTCTGCCCTCATGGGTTGTCATCCTTCTGCCATACACATGGCATCTCCTACACCCACCTTGCTACCAGGGGTTGTTCATTACATCTCTTCCTCTTTCGGTGCTTCCAGGCAGGGTCCCAGGTGCCCTCCTTCCGCCCCTACCTCTTGGCTCTTCTGACTCACCAATCCAGCTGGACCACACTGCACCAGTGCATCAGGCTTCTACTTGGCAGGAACAGGGAGCAAAGGTGAGTCTTGTTTGTCAGGCATAGCCAAGGGATTGAGTTGGGCAGCTCTGTCTGAGAGAACAAGACCTGCCATGTTCATGATGTGTCTGCCAGGAGATGTAAGTCAGCCAAAAATAGACTTTGTGAGAA